TATGTAAACATTAAGAAAGTGGAGCCCCTGCACCTGCGATCCCCTGCCTCAACATTTCTTGAACTCATTTCTCAATGGTCTCTAATGACAGGAAAGAGAATCTGTAAAACTTTCGGGGTTACAACGTGGGAGCAAATTTCACTTTTTTAAGTGAAATTTACAAGTCAAAGGAGTTCAGGGTCTGTCACCCCAAAATACACTCTGGAATAATGATTATTTTAAATTAACAAAACATGGAGAGCAGCAGATTCTGGGAGTCACTTTCCTCTGATACCTCCTTTCTGCTTAAATTCTGGACCCCGGAGAAAGTAAATGATTGCCTCTGATTCCTTCCTTATGTTTCCATTAAATTCATACCTCAGGCAAAAAGACTGAAGTCTGTCAGCACACTTGGACAGAATTTTGTCACTCACTTTTGCTTTATTTTGGGCCATTCAATGTTCCAAAGAGAATCATCTACAATTCATTGTCTGCTTTCACGCTGTAACAGGGGCTTAAAAGCTGCTTTTGCTGAGCAGTGACTCCTTGCTTGGGTCCAGGAATTAACTAAAGGCAGGAAGCAGTTAGATGATTGTGATGCCTCTTTTCCATAGAAATGAGGAAGGAATAAATTGACAGTAGGGAAAATGTAATCCAGACTACAAAAGGGAAGAACTTGGTGTAGTCAGCCTGCATACTGGCCAGGTTACTCTGCTTGTTAATCAAACTGACATCTTCCCCTTCTTTCTCTACATGCTGGAGAGTTGAAGGTTGACTCCCTTTGCTCTTCAATTAAACCAGGCAGTCTGCTACCCCTTATCTCTCTCTGACCACCAGATCAGTAAACCTGTCAGCCAAGACATACAGCTTCAGAGGTGTAGCTCTGGACACCTGCAGAACCAAGGCCAGAGGCAATGGAGAACATGCATATGGTCATGTAGTCAAGCTGAGGCCCCAAACTCTCCTTTAGAAGGTGGACATTTTCTCTCAGAAGTGGGACAACAGAGCTTTGAAAAGTGACTCTCCCTGTCTTCCTCTTTGTCTGACAAATAATAAATCTTATTTCCTTTTCCTCATCACCCTGCTCTCGTTATTTGTAAGTTGTGCATTGGCATGGAGGTCAGGAGACCAGTTTTCTGTTAGCAATATCCAACACAGTTTGTCTCAGGTCATTGGATGTTTCTTCAAGTCCATTAACTTCCCTGAAAATAATTTACTCTTCTTCTAAAAATTGTGTGCATTCTCCTCTGTCTCTCTCTCTCTCTCTCTCACCTATGGAAAAGAGGTGTTCAAGCTTCTGAATCATGTTAGGTAGTGGGGGATTGCACTTTGTGATTTGGGTTTATGGACATAATAAATCTGTGTGTCATGTCTCCTGTTTAATCTTTCTATCAGTTCATTCCAGCGAGACTTCAAAGGGCAAGGGGAAGCCTGTCCTTTCACCTCTACAAAGTCCTAATAGTTCTTGCCTTGATGACTGCACATACTATGGAATATTGTTTTTCCTCTCTCTCCATCTCTTTCATGTTTAGCAAAATCTTCTGCATCTATCTAGTCCCAGCACTTTGGGCCTTTCTCTAAGTCTCAGGAATTCAGTATATTTGTTATGTTGTCATTTTCATCTGACCTCAAGAATGTATGTTAACGATCTATTACATGTAACAAATTACTACAGAACTTAGTGGCTTTAAGCAACAATTATTTATTACCTCACATAGTTCCTAAGAGTAAAACTAGTTGGGTGATTCTGCCCCAGGGCTTCTCATGAGGTTGCAATCAAGGTGTTGGTCTGACCAGGGGGACTGGAGAATCCACTTTCATCATGGCTCCCTCACATAGCTGTTGGCAGAAAGCCTGAGTTACTCATCAACCAAGCCTTTCCACTTGCTTTCTTAAACATCATAACAACATAGCAGTGGACTTTCTTGTGGAAATATGATCCAAAAAATACAAGATATCTGACCAAAATGGGCACTACAATCTGTGTTATTACCAAACCTCAGAAGTAATATGACATCTGTAGTCAACTGATGACTTAGAGCAACCCTAATACAGTGTAGGTGGGGGACTATAAATGGATGTTTATACCATGAGGTAGGAGCCATCCCTGTCCTACCACACCAAGGACATTTTTGCATCTATAAATGAAAATATACTCACATTGATGCATTTTATAAGAAAGTGTTTTCTGGAGGGAATTTCATTAAGTCAATTTAATCTCAGCAATTTTCTATATAGCACATACAGCTTATTTCTAATTGTTTGCATTGTCATTTTATATTGCTTTATGTAATGTATTTTCACAAAATTTGTTCTTATATTTATTTCGTAACAAGATTTTTTTCCTTGCTCAGGCTTACCAAGGCTTTTTGCTTATTGGTTTTTTTGTCATGAGTTTTCTTTCTTGGCTATTATATCTACTCTGTGAATCTTGCTAAAGCTAGATTTTTACACATGTAACTTTGGTGGAGAAGACTCAACTCCATAACATTATCAGATTCCCTAGGGTGTTTCTTTTTTTTTTTTTTTTCTAACAGTTTTGACTATAGTAAGTTTTTTTTAATGACAGTTATGTCTCTGCAATTTTTCTTATGAATTGGGTTAAAGACCACTATTTTGTGTTCATTGCTTGCATAATATATGAGATAGTTGTGAGTAACCTTAGATGGTTCAGAATTGCTTTATTTCCTGGGCAGAGCCTGTCACAGATCTCACTAACTACTCTCTTTGTCTTTCCATGCACAGTGTTCCAGCCACTCACACCATCACTACAGGATTATGCAAAACATATCTGGGGTGCAAAACCACAGACAGTTAAAATGCTCATCAGGATTAAAGTGAACCCTCATCTCTTTATCTTCTCTTCTTCCTAAATGTGATTTTGTTCATTTTCAGCTGACTTGACCCATTGAGAATCAGAAAGTTGTTGATACTTGTGCATTTTGATCAAATTAGGGCTAAAAGCAGGCTAAAGGAAAATAGGGTACTTATGGGCAAACCCCCCCCCCGACATTTGCCCTTTTCACCCCCTTAAAGTGTTTTTGGGCCAAGGTTCTGGAACTGAGTAGTCTTCTTTCTGAGAATTTATTAAAATTTTAAAAACAAGTTTGCTATATTTGGCTCAGCAATATCCTCCAAAGGCCCATGTGTTAAAGGTTTGGTCCACAGCTTATGACATTATGGGGAGATAGTGAAACCTTCAAGAGGTGGAGCCTAGTCTTAAATCATTGGGGACAGGCCCTTGAAGGGGATTATGGGTCCTCAGCCTCTTCACTTTCTTTAATGTGCCAGCCTTGAGATGATTGGGCTTTGCTCCACTTTGCTCCTTGTCATTATGTGCAAGCCCAAAAGCAATGTGTTTGCCTGACCATGGACTGAAACCTCCAAAAATGTGCACCAAAATAACCCTTTCCTATTTTTCCATTACTGTAATGGAAAGCTGACTAACAGAGGTTAATTCCTGAGCCTTGTGCAGTGCTTAGTGGGGGAAATGGCTTGAGATCCTACGTTTTTCATTTGCAAATGATGGTCTCAATACAGAGACCACTAATTTTAACTATTATCAGCTTCAATAAACTTTAGATTACTTCTCCCAAAAGGACAGTTCCTTGTGCCTTCTTTGAGTTACTTAATCTGACTCATGTTCCACGAATTTCAGATACTTCAAGTACAGTGTAATATAAAGGCCAGTCCTAATACCCCTTTTGCTTAGAGAATTTGCTTCAGCCAGAAACCTATTGGCTGATTTTTGTGGTAAGTGTTGAACACCTTTTTGTTCTCTGCCACCATAATACGAACCCTTTTATAGCTGAGATGAGTCATTCACATTCTACATCTTGAAGAAACTCAAATTGAGTTGTACGATCCTAGAATTGAAGGTTCTGGAGCTAAGTAGTGATTCCTAAGTTTGTGTTTCAGGAAAATAAGTGTATGGGGTGGGGGTGGAGGTGGGGCTCTGCCAGGGGTAGGGGGAGGTACAAGGCCTGTTGGGAAGCCAATTAAAATAACCAGAAAAAAAAAAAAAAGGCAAGGAGACACAGCAAATACCTGCTGGAGAAATAATTTGAAAAAGGACTTGGTAACTACACAAAAGGTGTTTGTGGAGATAGGAACAATCAATGACACAGGAGTCCAATCTGGGTAACTGCAGGAGTACTGCTGCCTTTTAAATAGCACAGAAAAGGTGTGCCACCTTCAGGGTTTACATGTTCAACAGACAACTAAACATTGGGAATTTAGTCCCTTTGTTTAAAGTTTTTTTGGTGGTACTGGGCTTTGAATTCAGGACTGTGAACTTCCGAGGCAGGCACTCTATCACTTAAGTTAGTCCCTTTGTGACTTGATGTAAGATCTTCTAAAAATTATATTAAGCTTGGTAGAAAAGCAGCATGATGACATTTCTAAAGAGTGCAGATGAAGAAAAAAAAACACTCATAATTCCACTGTTAATGCTTTAATGGATTTTTTCCCCCGATGTTTAAAAAAAATGTCCTGTTGGATTGACTGTAAATAAAATTATAATTTTGAAAAGGCAACACATTTCTGAACCAAGGGCTTTTGAGAGTAAGGCTTTAGATGTGCGGGGTAAAATGCAGACCTTAGTAAATACTTGCTCAATAGTTGCTGGACTGATGTTCTGGAACTTTAAGACTATTAAATATACAAGCAAAAAATTTTTTTTTCATTTTGAAAATTTAAGTGTTTTCTTTAAACTGATAGTGAAACAAATTTGTTTTAATTTTATCAGAAAAGAAGTGACAAGACAGCAAGAAATAGGGTGAAGCACCTTCTTTCTGCAACTTCTGCACCCTAACACTCCCTTCAACACCCATGCGTTTGAAAGTAACGTCTAACAAGGAGACGGCAGCTCTTGCGCACGCGCACTAAGACTCACCCACAGCTACCCCGCCCTCTGGGAACTGTCCCCGCCCCCAGCCAATCCCCGCCTCGCAATGCTCTGGGAACTGTGTTCTCGCAACACCGGCCCGGCTGTTTTCCTTCCGTCCTCCATTGCTTTCTTCCTCGTCATGGCTTCCGGGCTGGTGAGACTGCTCCAGCTGGGGCCTCGCTGCCTTTTGGCTGCAGCCACCCCTGCGCTCGCCCCGCCGGTTCGGGGGGTGAAGAAGGGATTCCGCGCCGCCTTCCGCTTCCAGAAGGAGTTGGAGAGGTGGCGCCTGCTGCGCTGCCCGCCCCCGCCCGTGCGCCGGTAGGAATCTCCTTCGCGAGGGGTGCGAGGGGCGGTTGGGGTTACTCGGGGACACTCGGCTCCTTCCGCCTGGCTTCGGCTCCGCCGTGGACGCACGTCTGCCTTAAGCGTGGGAGGTTGCTGGAGAGACGTGGACACGCCAGGCAGGCGGAAAAAGGGTCGCGCCGGGCAGCGCCGGTCCTACCACCCACCCTTAAGAACTCTGCTTTGGAATTTTACAGCTGAGAATTACGTGCGAGAATCCGTGGGCACCGATATCGGAGAGGACGGGGCACACCACTGCATCGCGAGTTAGGCACGGTGTCTCCATCCACCTGTCCACTGGCCCGAGCAAAGGGAAAAAAAGCTTAGCTTTAGGTTTTTGTCCTCATTGAATCTTGTTACAATATGGCAGAAAGGAAACCTAAGATTTTATGACTCCAAATGAGATCGTGCTTTACATTTGGTCCTGCATCTTGCTTTTTTCTCTTTGATACGTCGAGGCAAAAGTACAAACGGATGCACTTCACTCTTAGGTTCAATTTGATGGCGTTTGAGCGCCACGTTGCTGCTGTTCGCAACCAATGAGACAGTGAATATTCCTCAAGTTACTTAGTTTTTGGGAACTCATAATGTGAAGGTTTGATAACCACTTCAGTATTGCCCTCCAAAAAATACTGGTCTAGGTTATACTTTACCCGTAGGAACATGCTTCTAATGCAGATTATGTTCTTTTCCTAGTAGGCAAAAAGTAAAATCTTAATTCACATTTCCTTGCATATTATAAAGCTCGGTATTTTCAGCCTTTCAAGGTGGAAGAAACTGGATTATGTGAATGTATTTGTTACATAGATTTTATGACTGAACCCAGAGCTTTATACTTTGCTACCCTTTTCTACTTAAAAGAGTTTTATTTTGGGCTTATCAGTTTTCTTTAGAAAAAGATGCTTTAGTTTATTCTCGGAAATGATTGTGAGCTGTGTGTCTGCCTCTGTGTGTGCGCGCGCCTCCTTTGTGCTAGACAAGTGCTCTGCAACTGAATTGCCTTTCCAAACCATGATTATGAACTTTTAACACACTCAGAGTACTGATACAAGATTATTTAATTGCTAATTTAAATGGATATTTCCAAAATTTAAATCAGTAAAATATAAAGTACTTAGTGTTTATGGCCTGAATCTGTAAAATTATAATTTATGTTCATATCTAGGTGACAAGCATAGTTCCATGGTTGGAGCAGAAATGAGTCTAAAAGTCAGAACAATGGCCTAATCTCTGACCTTGTACAACCACCTTAATGTGGCAGTTGGATCAAAGGGAAAAATTAATCCTACTATGTATGTAGACTATAACAAAGGACTTTCAGCATTTGTCTGAGTTTTTGTATTTAGACCATCAGTGTCTGGCATTAAAAGGAAACATTTGCTTTTCATTTACTGATACATAACTAATAAATTATAGCACAGTGAAAAATTTTTACACAGTAACACGTTGTTCGCTTTACTGTCTCTTCCTGTGTTTGTATTCTCAGTTCAGAGAAGCCTAACTGGGATTACCATGCTGAAATACAAGCTTTTGGACATCGATTACAGGAAACCTTTTCCTTAGATCTTCTCAAAACTGCATTTGTTAATAACTGCTATATTAAAAGTGAAGAAGCAAGACGTCAAAAACTTGGAATAGAGAAAGAAGCTGTTCTTCTGAATCTTAAAGATAATCAAGAACTGTATGAACAAGGACTGTCTTTTTCACAAACATGCCTCACACAATTTCTTGAAAATGAGTTCCCAGACTTGCCCACTGAAGGCATCAAAAATGTAGTTAACTTTCTTATTGGTGAGGAAGTTGTGTGTCATGTGGCTAGAAACTTGGCTGTGGAGCAGTTAACACTGAGTGCAGAATTTCCAGTCCCCCCACCTGTATTGCAGCGGACTTTCTTTGCAGTGATTGGAGCTCTGCTACAAAGCAGTGGATCAGAGAGGGCTGCACTTTTCATTAGGGTATGTGATTGTTAATTACACTTGTGGGACATGCTTCAGTGAGGTGACAGAAGGAAACATTTCTAGTTCATTTCATTGCTGTATCACCTTGGAAGTAAAGAGGTTTTTTTTTTTTTTTTTTTTTTCCGTATGGCCTTAGTTATTCCAGTTGTCTTTTATTAAGGACATCATTAGCAGTGAATGTGGCTTCTGAAGGGCTGCAAGTCATGTCATCTTTAGCTTTCCATCCTTAGGGCTGAGGGTGACACTGCTATAGTAGATAGTAGAGTTTTGGTGAATGAATGAGGTCAGAGGACACTATGCAAGGGCTTAGGGTGGCTAGGAAATTCATGTTTGTCCTCAGTCCCTGTGAAGTACTTTTAGCTCTTTGCTAGCCTAGCTAATTAAAATTCTTACGTCATTTGTACAACTTAAGTAGTTAAAATTGTTAACCTTATTAATATAACAAGATGGAGGTAGAAGGGGAAATTTAAAATATATAGCCTTAGTACACAAAATAAAACATCAACTTCAAGCTGGGCCTATTGGTGTGTGACTAGTCCCAGCATGTGCGAGGCTAAAGCTGGGGAATCTGAAGTTTGAGGTTACCCTGGGCTTAAAAAAAAAAAAAAGTCAATTTCATTACAACAATCTTCCAAGAACCAGAACTCTATATTCTATTTTGGCTTCATTACTAAAAATATCCCACCTAATATAAGTAGTAATAATGAAAGTTCATATGTTGTTGGTATAACTTGACTCACTGTCCTTTCAAAATTTATTAACTAGAGAAAGTTTTATCTTCTGCCATTGGGTAAAAACATGTTCCCTGTTCAATAATAGAGTCCACGCAATCACTGTAAGTCATTAAAAAACAGTCTTGATTTAAACATTTGAAGGTCAGATTCTTTAAACCAAACCAGCACCACTTGCTATTAGAATCATTCATTTAGTTAGATACCAAGTTTGATCATTTTGTTAGAGAAAGAGGCTTGTGTTTACCAATAAGCCAGACTTTGTTCATAGGTAAAGCCCTGTCTTCCTCCTTCCCCATGTAGGTCCTCTTAGTAGGTGGGATTTTTTTTTTTTTAATATTAATGAATCTGAACTAGAGTTCTGATACTTGGAAGATTGTTGTAATGAAATCCATGGTTTATTTCATCTACTAAGTATCTACAGTTTAAACTTCTCCCTTCCTGCTTTCATTCATCCATCCTGTTCTATTAATGTTTGTTAATAGGAGTTGATTCCAGTATACGAATTACTGTGGGAATTAATATTTTCTGTACAAAATTTTTTTATAGCAAAATAAATTCTGCTTTGAGTTTTCATAACTTTTCTTAGTCTTATAAACATGTATTGTCAAGTCATAAACAATTTTAAAAGGCAGTTTATGTAGAATTATTTTAAAGATTTTTAAAAAAATCATTGAGTATTGTTCTCTAGAGTCCTGAGTAGTTTTTTTTTTTTTAAAATGAGTTTCTGTCAGAAGTTATTACTGTTAATTCAACTCCTTACACATTTTTTTTCATATTGGGAGTTAATTCTAAATTCTAAGATGGGATTCTACCTTTTGTATTGTTTTGGTAGGTGTCATACTGCTTGAAATAGTTTTCTCAGACTTTAAAATTTTTACTTGAACTATGATATTTATAATAAAATTTACATTAAAAATGTCAGAACTAGGGATGTTGCTCAGTGGTAGAGCACTTATCTAGCATGCTTGGGGCCCTGGGTTTGATCCCTAGCACAGGACAGAGAGTTGGGGGGAGGACAAAACTGTATGGAAAAGAAAAAGAATACAAAATACTTACCCAAAATGCTTGGGACCATAAGTGTTTCAGAGTTTGGATTTTTCTCAAAGTTTGGAATGTTTTCATGGCTTTTCTGGTGGAGCTTCCCTGATCTGGAAATCCCAAATTTCAGCCTTAAGCATCATGTCTGTGCAAAGTTTCACATTTTGGAGTATTTCAGATTTTTAGGCTACAGATTCTCAACCTGAGTACATTTTTTCTTTTACTTCCCATTAAATTTTTCTGTTAGAAATGTACTTTCATTGTGTGATGGTGGCTCACACCTGTAATCCTAGCTCCTCAGGAGGCAGAGATCAGGAGGATCATGGTTCGAAGCTAGCCCAGGCAAATAGTTTTGGAAACCCTATCTCAAAAAAAAAAAAAAATCACAAAAAAGGGCTGATGGAGTGGCTCAAAGGTGTAGGCCTTGAGTTCAAACCCCACTACTGGAAAAAAAAAAAAAAAGAAATATACTTTCAATTCTGGTTCTAAAGTAATTTAAATGTATAAATTACTATTTTATATACAGGACTTCTTAATTACTCAAATGACTGGAAAAGAGCTCTTTGAGATGTGGCAGATAATAAATCCCATGGGACTACTTGTGGAAGAATTGAAGAAGAGAAATATTCTGGCTCCTGAATCTAGACTTACTAGACAGTCTGGCAGTACCACAGCTTTGCCTTTGTATTTTGTTGGCTTATTCTGGTTAGTAAAAATTTAGTCTTCACATCATAACTTTGATTTGAGGCCTTAAAAATAGAATTGTGACAGTTCTTTCTCAAAACTATGGTAAGCAGTGAATGATCTTTAAAAATCTTATCCCTGTGATCATCTGTGTTCTGCTTCCTTTCCTTTCTTCACAGGGGAAGGAAGGTAATCTGTTCTGATAGTAACTTTTGTTAGCCAAGTGTTTTCTATAGAATTTTGGAATATATGTTAATACAAATTTTTCTCTATAAAAATAAAAGTCATGACTTACATGTGTTAAAAAGTTAACCATAGTCTGCTCTTGGTAGCAGCCTCAACTGAACCTCAAAGTGGAAAAGAAAGGGCTCAGGTGTCCACCAAAATGTATGCATCAACCCATGTTGAGAGCTTTTTAGCTTCATTAGTAAGAACTTGACCTTCCCCAAATTTATTTCAGGGATTAAGATTAAAGTGTTTGGGGCTAAAGATGTAGCTCAGTGGTAGAATGCTTGCCTAGTATATGCAAGGCCCTGGGTTCTATGCCCAGCACCACAAAAACTCAGTTAAAATGTTAAATAAAACTTTGCATAACTAAGATAACTTGATTAAGATCTAGGTAAATACTTTTCTAATCTTTGTGTTATTAAGGACTTTCTGGATATAAGAACAATGGGAAACATCACAAAGGAGAAAGTGAAGAGTGTTACAGAATTTCATCTTCAGTTTCAAATAAAGTGCAAAGTAAAAAGATGATAAATCTTTTGGGATTGAAATTCATTCTTAGATGATTTTCATTAATGTGTATGTGCGTACTTGTTATAAAATTTGGCATGTGACTAACCGTTGTTTATTTCGACATAGTACATGTTTCTTTGGCAGTTCCTTGAATGCTGTTCTTTTACCTATGCAGTTTCACTTTTCTCTAATTTGGTCTGGTCCTCTTGGGTTTTATGAAACCTTATATTGAATCCAGGTGGTTAGATGGAGTTGCTATATATGCAGTCTTCAGAGAAATGCTTCTTTTAATTGAAAAATGGAAATTTCAGGTCAGGAAGTTTCTAGGAGGTGGTTAAGTATAATTGAGAAGTAGCAAAGCAGATGGGATGAGTTATTTAATGTACACATTCTTTGCAGGAACATTTTTTTGCTTTTAAAAGATAGCTAGTAAGAACAGTAATAGAAATATCAGTTCAGCACAGGAATTGGTTTTAGTTTTATCTATTTTTAATAGAGAACATAATAATAGCCAGTATTTGCTATACTTCCTTGCTATTTTTTGGGAATAAATTAGAGTGTATTTTAAATACATAAAGTATTTTCAAAATTTGCATCAATTTTGAAAATCTAAATTCTTAATTTAAAATACAGAACTGATACCTCCTTCTTTAGATGACAAACTCAAAAGGCACAACATGTTCAGTAAAATCTCTCCTCAAGTTATACTGCACATTTGGAGTGAATTGAAAATAATATACTCATAATTTCCAGGAGTATTTTTAATAGTTTCAAGTTTTCACAAGAAGATGTAAATTCCAATTCTTTCATCAACAATTAAAAAAATTAATATGTATGTTGTGGTTTTAACTTGAAAAGTACTGGACTAGTAAGTTTTTTGTATTTCTATGGATGTGTGACTTGCTTTGTCAGCTACTGTATAAAGTAAACTTGCAACAAGATGTGTTTACTGCTGTTTGTGGGCACGGTTATGAAGGTAGGAGTGGGAGTGGTGCCGTGTGAGGCACCATGTCATTTAAGACTGTTTGTCTTCTTTCTAGTGATAGGAAGTTGATTGCAGAAGGACCTGGAGAAACAGTATTGGTTGCAGAAGAAGAAGCTGCTCGAGGGGCACTTAGAAGACTCTATGGATTCACAGAGAATAGAAGGCCCTGGGACTATACCAAGCCGAAACGGAGCTTGAGAGCAGAAAAGACCAGCACTGCCGGCTATCCAACTGGAGATGAGCCAAACAAGAAGACAGGCTGTGTTACCAACATCAGACAAGTGTTTAGCAGGTCATGATTTTGTTTTTTTCCGTGATACTGGAGTTTGAACTCAGGGCTTTGGATTGCTAGGCAGGTGCTCTACCACTTGAGCCATACTCCCAGCCTTTTTTCCTTTGGTTATTTTTAGGATAAGGTCTTGTGTTTTTTGCCTGCATGGGCCTGGATATCTCAATCTCCTGCTTACTTTTCCTGGGTAGCTGGGATGACAGGTGTGAGCCACCATGCCTAGTTTTTTTTTTTGTTGTTGAGATACAGAGTCTCACGAACTTTTTGCCCAGGCTGGCCTCAAATGGCGATCCTTTTGATCTCTGCCTCCTGAGTTGCTGGGATTATAGGTGTGAGCCACCATGCCTAGCTGCCTTTTGTTTTTTCAAAAAAACCTTTTTTTTTTTAAAATTGTTTACCAAGTTTTGTCCGAAGTTCTTACTTTATTATGACATATAATTTGTACAGTTTGGTGTATTTTATTCTCCTTTAGCTTTGAGGTATTGTAATTCAAATATATGTCACGTGAACTTTATTGTAATATCAATAAAAAAAAAGTTACTCTCTCTCAATGTGACATTGCAGTTTAATATACCAGGAGTGGTAGGAAGTTGATGAGCTTTGCTTCTCTAATGGAATGTTTAGCTAAGATAGTGATGTTTTAGTATTTCTCAAAATGCAAGGTACCAGTCATAACTAACAGCTGTTTACATCAAATCTAGAGTCTAGGTTTAAATATTTTTGTACTTCTAAACATATATATATTATGAAGTACAAAAATATATTGGCAGTACAGGGAATTGAGCTCAGGGCTTCATTCTGCTAGGCAGGCACTGTACCACTTGAGCCACACAGGCAGTCTTTGTTTTAGTTGTTTTTGAATAGGGTCTCCATTTTGCCTGTGACCACTCTGACCATGATCCTCCTACCTACACCTCATGTAGCTGGTATTATAGGTATGCACCACCATGCCCAGCTCGAATACATTTCTTACTTAATTTCAATAAAATAAAAAAATGGCAGACAAGTAAATTTCATGATAGTAAGAAATTCTGTAACTGTCACAGTGTATCCCCAGTATACTAATAATATGCTAATAAAAATTTAAAAACTAAAAGAAATTGTCTTTTCTAAGAAAATGAAATTCCAAAGTAGCTTAAAATGTTGCTGCTAGAGAAACTAAAGCAGATACCTTAAAAGCAACTGAGGCCAATAGGAAAAGGGGAACAGGTACTAGAGAAAAGGTTAGATCAAAAAGAATTAACCTAGAAGGTAACACCCACGCACAGGAAATCAATGTGAGTCAATGCCCTGTATAGCTATCCTTATCTCAACCAGCAAAAACCCTTGTTCCTTCCTATTATTGCTTATACTTTCTCTATAACAAAATTAGAAATAAGGGCAAAATAGTTTCTGCTGGGTATTGGTGGGGGGAGAGGGAGGGGGCGGAGTGGGTGGTAAGGGAGGGGGTGGGGGCAGGGGGGAGAAATGAACCAAGCCTTGTATGCACATATGAATAATAAAAGAAAAATGAAAAAAAAATGTTGCTGCTAATGGGAAAACAAAGTATGCATTTATCAACCCATTTTAACATAATAGTAGCTACTATGTGTCAAGCACTGCTCTAGGTATTAAAACACATTTAGTTCAGTAGAGTTTTTCTGCTTCTTTAATCCTTTGTGTTCAGTAATCCAACTGCAAATTCTCTTTTATTTATTTTTATTTTTTTGGGAACAGTAATGATTTTAGTTTAGGCTGCTTGTAGTCATTCCCAGAGGTTAACAAGAAAAGCAGGGCTAAAGTTGAGAACAGAAAAGAGGAAACAATGTTAATGCCAATTGTACTTTTGCTATGAAATCTTTTTTTCTAAAGGAGGATGAAGGACCTTTAAAAATTCTCTCCTGTGAACACTGGTTGAATTTTTTTTTTTTGTCTAAACATGAAGCAGGTTGGAGGGCTGGAAGTAGACTCGGAGACAAGGCGAGGAACTCAAGGGAAAAAGAAAGGAAGAATGTCGGGGCTTTCCCTACTGTATCAGTCCGTGTCTTGGCAGGAAAGAGAAAGGCACACAGATAGGATGAGTTTAACAAAGGACTATTTAAGGGGACAATCCAGTCTAGGGATAACACATGAGGGAGCTGACTCTTCAGCCTAAAAAGTCAAGGGCAGAGGCCACTTGACAGGATTTGTAGCCTTGGGTACAGACAGCCAACCCAAATGACTGGGCCAGGATAGAGCTGGAGGGACAAAAATCCTTATCTGATTTCTGTTGCTCAACTAGCTCTTCCTGGAGTTCACTAGCCAAAGTCAATTTCAGGTCTAATAGAAGAGAACTCAGAGGCTGTCCATGAAAGTCTGCCTGGGGGACAGAGGCCAATGGAAAAGGCAGAAAGTGGATCTGAACAAGCAAATGGAAAAAACAGCCCATTACTCAAATGGATTGCTGACAAGCACAACTTTAAAGATGGGACATGAGAAGTCCAGTTTCTGAGCCCTGGTTCATAAAGTCTTATGTTCACCTCTGGTCTCCACAGCTTTGCCCCCTTGAAAATGAGTCTAAGAAAAAAAGTCAGAATTTAATCTTCTTTTTGAAGCTACAGAAAAACATCTATCATGATGGAGGTTTTCTAAGGTAGGAGATGCTGTATTTTAAAGCCTTGATTTATGTTTAGGGTAAGGAAGTTGCTGCCTGAGTGAGTGAGTGAGTGGTACAGCCCTGCCAATAGCCCAGTCATAGCTTAAATCACCTAAAAACAAACTAACTTTCCTGAGATTGGCTAGAAAGTGAAACTTGAGTCATGTAAGAGGATTTTTAGCTACCCTGCGTAAAAAAGGGACTGTTTGGGGAGGGGAAAACTTGAGAAGTATCTAATTAGCTGAATTGGTACGTTTAATAAAATCTAAGTTCACCATTTTTGTTGTGTTTGTTTTATTTTTTTAAGTTAACTCCAATAATTGAACACAAGGGTGAAGAACCAAACTCAGTAGTCAAAGCACCACTTGTCTTCCACAACAAGAAAGCGAAACTAATGAAAATTTCTGGGATGCATGACAGTAAGGGATCTTCTAACCACTTACTCCTCCAGCATATGTATGGACTAGTGTAGTTTTTTTTAGGTGAGTATTTTTTAAAAGTGTTTAGACAATTTAATTGTGAACTCAGTAATCCCCTTTTTCCCTAGTGCAAAAAATGTAATCCCAAATTTCTGTTGCTCAGGGCAGTTTACAGGACTTTAGGCTACAAGGTGGGAGAGGAGCTCTCCATGTGTTATCCTGAGTACTGTCTAGGTCATCTAGCTGAATTTCTACCTTCCCTAATCTTGTTTATCTTTGAGGACAGGATGCCCTAGGCCCAAAATTCCTAGAGTGGGTTTGCCCAAACTGGTTGGATCTAAAATGGCTTGTGAGTGACCACCAGACAACCTCTAACTTCATTATAAGGCCATCATGCTAAATGATGTCACCACCATTGACAATTGAAAATTGCCATGGCAGTGATTGAAAATAGCCATAAAAAGAGGGAAAAGAAGGTGGTGTATGGGTTCCCAGAAAATCTGCATCCATTTCTATTTGCTAGGCTTGAGCCACACCTCCAGCCCTTCCACTGCTCTTCTTGACTAAGTATAACAGTTTCTTTCACTGCTCAGTTGGTACTAGGTCTTGTTTTTGATTCCACAGTTCCAAGAGGAGAAAAGGACCCAGTTTGAATGCAAAAGCTGGTAACACATTTTCCTTTGATTTTCAAGCTTCGAATCTCTGAATGCTTCGAGATTCACTTATGGAACAAATACTACATTTAATGTGAAAAGCTATTTTGCAAGTAAAGAAAGAGATTCATATCCCTTATAGTGTGATTTCAATACATTTTGAAGTAGAATTTTGACACTCAAATTATTAGATTTTTCTTTTTTTTTTTTTGCAGTACTGGGCCTCATGCTGCTAGGCAGGCATTTTTCCACTGGAGCCATTCCCCCAGCCTTTTTGTATTAGTTATTTTTAAGAGAGGGAGGATTTTTTTTTTTTTTTTTGTGATGGCACTGAGGTTTGAACTCAGGGCTTCACATTTGCTAGGCAGGTGCTCTTACCACTTGAGCCACTCAGCTAGCCTTTATTTTTTGAGATTGGGTTTCACATTTATGCCCCTTGAGTGTGGAGCACAGTCATCCCTGTCTTTGCTTCTGGGTAGCTAAGATTACAGGCATGAGCCACTATGCCCAGGCAGATTGTATTTTCTTAAAGTACCCACTAAAACATGAATGGGCTGGAATGTAGCAAAATTAACAAACTTCTGCAGTTCCATGTGAACAGCTTTGGAAATTTGGAACCAACTTCTGGGTAATTTTTATTTGTCCTATAAGAATAAGCACTGCTTTACGTTTAGAATGTGGGCAAGAGGACTATGGGGTACAAAGATGTCGTCAGATGGGGTGTGACCAGGCTCACTTAGTGACCATGTGCACTACTGCCTTTTTGACTCGTGAATGCCTTATTTATGTGGTGAAGACAATCATAAAGCCACAGGAAGTTGTTGAGATAAAGAAGCGCTTGGGTTGACACCATGGAAAAATATTAGTCATCTACTTTGAAATTCTGACCCCTTTCCCACCTTTTCCTATTCTCTAGTTCCCTAAGCCTAAAGAATAAATGTACCAAAAAGGTCTTTTAGCCAAAAATATATTGAACATCTACAGACTCAACTACATAAGCTATAGTCTCTTCAGTCCAGGGTATATTTTGTCATGTGAATATAAAATGGGGAATATTATTCCCAAAGCGTTTTATGTAGCTATTAGAGAGTGAACTAGAAACTAATTCTGAATAACAATAGAAGAAATTGGTGCTTTTGGCATTCAGCACAGTACTAACTTTGGCCACAAGATGGTACCCTAACCCCACAGCACCGTTTACGATGCGCCCTACCATTATGGGGAACCCTGCTTACACAGGAAAGAATATGTATTTACATAGCACATTATTACAGCAAAATGTGACATTTCCAGGCCCTGTACAGTGCTACTGTTCAATGACTATCTGCAGGAACTAGTTCATCTTCCCCCTCCCGAGGATGCTGTAAGGTAGGAATTTGATGTATGAACAATTCACTCTGATGCCAAGATAGGGATGTTTGAGCTCTTTTTATTCACTGGGAAGAAGGAAAATTGTGTGGATGCCAAAGATAAAACCTTTAAATGACATTTTTTGTTCCCTTCTTCCTGTTTTCTGTCATCTCTTTTTATAGAGAGTAAATGCACAGTATAGGCAAGGGAATCTGAATGTCCATCTTGACACTTCCCC